TGCTATTAATAGGCTATTAGACAAAATTTCAAAATAAAAATTCAGGCCGCTACCAAACCTCTTAGCGTTCCTCAAAAACGAAAATTAGTCAAGCATCTGGAGCAGTTGATGCAGCTGGTATGTACGGCTTACGAACCAGATATTCCAAAGATGATAGATAATCTTCATAATTTGAAGATATCATGGAGTCTGCAACATGGCATACGCATTGAAGTAGAAGAATGTACTACTTCGAGCATGGAGGTGCCAGCACAATACGTACGTACGGTTTTTCTTCAGCATTTTTTCTCCAAATATATTCATTCTTATTGCAGGATAATAAATCAATTGATTTGAGAAGAGAGGATTTACCAGGACTTGGCAGCATGGTGAGCAGCATTAATTCCCCGATTCCAATAAAAATTAGAGGAACCCCCCGTTTAGGTTCCATTACAACTCCAGTGCGATCAAAAAAAAAGAAACTGGCGGTTCCATTTCTCGAAAGGGCTCAACTGCAACAAACACAAGAAATGCTAGGTTGGTTGATTGACAAAGACTTGGTGGGAAGTGTCCTCGACGCGGAGTATCTTATTAAAACTACCAAAACGTTAATGTCCAGTTATTATTAAAATACTGCGTGAAGAAGGCTTTTTTTGCACTTGAATATCAGAAAAGAAGCAGAAAGATATCAAAACTTGTCGTACTTGCGGACAAGTCAACACTAACGTGTTACTAGAGTGGATGTTATGTAGCTCTTGCTTGTTTTTTTTNGGAAGTGTCCTCGACGCGGAGTATCTTATTAAAACTACCGACTTAAACCTGGAAATTAACATTTTAAGAGACTCTTTTCAAAACGTTAATGTCCAGTTATTATCAAAATACTGCGTGAAGAAGGCTTTTTTTGCACTTGAACAGGCAATATCAGAAAAGAAGCAGAAATATATCAAAACTTGTCGTACTTGCGGACAAGTCATTACTAACGTGTTACTAGAGTGGATGTTATGTAGCTCTTGCTTGTTTTTTTTTCATTCCAAATGTGTTAAAAAATATAGAAAGAAAACCACGAAAGTATGGTTTTGCTCAGCNGCAACCCAACGGTACTATGTTTAAGAAAAATATAATCAGCCTCTAAACTTTGGTGTGGAAAATATCTGTTCGAAACAAGGTGATAACAAAAAGTAGTGTTTTTAAGGCACATATTAATATGTATATCGATTGCTGAGTGGAAGATCGACCTACATATCTCGGCAGCCAGTTCGAAAACG